CAGAAAGAGCATGTAATTCTTAAAGGGGCAATTTCATGTAAAATCAACTTTTGAGTTTTCTATCATGTTATAATGTTATACTCTCATAAAAAACATGCCCAAAGCCTTGCTTTGACTCATTCATGCATGTTTGAGAAATCCTGCAGTGTTTTTAGGAAGCCATGCTGAGGAGCAAAACGACAGGTGGGGACCAGAAACACCTTTTGGTAACAGAAACGCCCCTGGGGAGAAGGGGTTATCTGCGGAATCAAAGTGGGCGTGTCACAAGAGTGGGCGTGTCTAAAGCATAAACAGTGTGGGCAACGAGGCCTACATGATGGTATCCACAGATCCTGCTTGATCTCTTTACAGCCTGACCCTGACCCCAACACTAAGGTTAACCAGGAAAAATGTGACCCAAGTAGGGTTCTCCAGAAAAAGTGGTGCCGTACAGTAACGCCCCTTTTGTTCTTGTCCAATCAGGTGTGTCCCTTTAACAAAGTCCGTCAAATCAGGTGTGTCGCTTTAGAATCGCCTTTCCTTGTGACACGCCCACTCGTCCGCACTCGTCTGCAGAGAACCCTACTTGCATGAAAACAGCATTTTAATAACAACTAAAGGTGACATAGATACTTTATTATGGCATAGTATTTAAATAAATGCCTGAGAAACACATAATAATGCCCCTTTAAAGATTGGTGAACAGACAGAAAACCACATAAGCATCTCTGCAGACAAGGAGGCGTTTCCAAAGAAAGTCGGTTTTCAAGGGACACACCTGATCAGACAGCACAAAGGGGGCGTTTCTGAAGAACACCACCTGATTGGATGATAGTTGCTTCAGCATTTCAGCTGACTCTGGAAACTACACTGTGCTGGTTTTCTTGGACTTAACTTCAGCGTTTGACACTGTGGATCACTCTGTTCTTATCAACAGACTGAGAGATAATTTTGGTTTTTCTGGCTCTGTGTTAAACTGGTTCACCTCTTATTTATCTGAACTGTCTTTTACTGTTTTTATGAATCAGGTTTACTCTGATGTTGCACCGCTGTCTTGTGGGGTACCCCAAGGTTCAGTTTTGGGTCCAATSCTCTTTTTTATTGTACCTGTACCCTTTAGGAGGTATTTTAAAATGTTACAGTAATGTGTCCTACCATCTGTYTGCTGATGACATACAGTTGTACTGTTCCTTTAGACCCTCTGATTTCTTCAAACTATCTGAACTCAGTAACTGTCAGAAGTCAAAATATGGTTGAACAACAACTACCTGCAGTTAAATGCAAACAAGACTGAAACACTTATTATTGCCCCTGATGATAAAATCCCTGTAATCAGGCAGCACCTTGCTTTTTAAACCCCTTCAGTGAAAAATAGTCTCAGAAATCTGGGTGTTGTCTTTGATACTTCTGTCTTTTGACAGCCATTGTAAAATTTTAGTTCATAACTGTTTTTATCATTTAAGGAACATTTCAAAGCTGAGATCTTTTGTATCACAGAAGGAACTAGAGATGGTTGTTCACGCTTTTATTTCTTCTCGTTTAGATTACTGCAACAGTCTTTTTACATGTTTAAACAAATCCTCCTTGACTCGGCTTCAGTCTGTGCAGAACGCTGCAGCGAAATTATTAACAAAGACCCACAGGAGAGCCCACATTACACCTGTTTTAGCCTCTCTGCACTGGCTCCCTGTGACTTTGAGGAGTCATTTTAAAATTTTAGTTTTAACTTTCAGAGCACTTCATGGTCAGGCCCCCAAATACATCCTGGAGCTTCTGAAGCCTCTCTGTCCATCCAGGACTTTGAGGTCTTCTAATCAAATGCTGCTGGTGGTCCCTGGAACCCATTATAAAACCCATGGAGACAAAGCTTTTCAGGTGGTGGCCCCYAGGCTCTGGAACGCTCTCCCTCTGTCCCTTCGCTGCTCAGATTCTACTGACTCTTTTAAGATACATCTTAAGACATTTTTATTCAGACAGGCTTTTAGTTAAGTGCTTTTTATTGTGTTTTAATTGTTGTTTTTATATCTGTGATCTGTTTTATTGTTTTTAATTATTTTTGCTTTCTGTGAAGCACTTCGTGATGTTTGTGTCTGTGAAAGGTGCTATTGAAATAAAGTTTACCTACCTACCTACCGACCGACCGACCGACCGACCGACCGACCGACCGACCGACCGACCGACCTACTTACTTACTTACTTACTTACTTACTTACTTACTTACTTACTTACTTACTTACTTACTTACTTACTTACTTACTTACTTACTTACTTACTTACTAGTATTTTCTATCCTAGCATCGGACGTTCATATTTATTTTCATTATATTTAGTTTCACAAACTTGCTGTTGTTACCGAGGTCATTAGAAGACATGGGAACAACAGCCGGCAGATTATGTTAGCCGCTGGTATTATATGTTTATATGTAGACGGCTTCATTCATTGTTTCCGCTTCTGTTAACAAAGACCTCCAGGTTACATTTCAAAATACCAGCAACATCAGTCAATGGTGTTTGTTTTTATTTAATCTTTTGACACATTCAGAAATAGGAAGAACCAAATGTTTGTTTTTAATGATACATTGTGGTTTCATTAAAAAAACAAAACAAAAGCAGTTTTGGCTGCTAAAATTAATTTGAAAGTAGTTAAAGTCAAAGGTGAAAGAAAAACGAAAGAGAAGAACCAAAACAGAGCAATTACAACTATCCAATCAGTGTTTACGCTTGAGAAACACCTACTTTGAGTCTGCAGAGAACCCCTTCCCCAGAAAACTGCAAATGTTGCACCCCTAGTGCAAACATGCAACAAACGGCGAAGCGCGCTGCAAACACATGAGTAATGCAAACTCCAAAACACACAAACACAAAAAGACAAATGCAGCAGAAAAACACTGCAGTCACAGAATATAGACAGAAGCAAAAACAAACAAACAAAACAAAACAAGCGCAAAGGAAAAATGCTGCAAATACCAAAAATAAGTAATAAATGCTGTAAACTCACGCCACATCGTCATGAGCGTACAAAGACAGGCTGCAGTCTAGTTTATCTGTTCTTGCGTAAATCGATGAACAACAGTAACAATGGTGGATAGCAGGGTGCTGTTTGTGCTGCCTTTTTCATTACATAGGAGCAAACCAACCTCATCCCCAGTCAAAATGAAGATTCATGTATTTACCATTTTGGATTGTTCACATGTAAGATCATCTTTTGCTGAAAAATGACAGAGCTGTAGCCATTTTGGCTAATGGAAAATAAATGTAATTATTTATTAGGATGATGTATTGACTTCTATTCATTTCGTCATTTCTGCAGCCTAACTCTGACCCTTACCTTACCTAGCCACCCCCAGTATACAATTAATCCTAGACCTAACCTAAACTCAATTCATTCCTTAGTTCTAACCCCACAATGGTGTTTCACTATATTAGGACCGTTCTTTGGTCCCCAAGAGAACTACTGGTTCTGACAAGGTACAGTAGGTATGTAGACCAGAAAAGTTCTTTAAAAGGTAACAAAAACCAGGTAGACACACACACACACACACACACACACACACACACACACACACACACAGAGAGAGACAGACACCAGCAAAAACATCATCACACAC